ATAAAGTTAGGTCGTCATCCTGCTGATGGTTTTCCATGGAGTTATTTTTGAAGTAAACAAGCAGAATGCAGATTGTAGGTTTCTTCACTATGTTGTTCTTTAGGAGCCTACTTCAAAGCTCCATGAAATAGTACTGCAAGTGAAGTTTGAGTAGGGCAAATAGACTTACAGTATTTTTTTTTTTTTTTCAAAAGAAAAGAGTATGGCATGTTTGAAAGGATTGTGAGAAGGAATATTAGACTTGCACCAATTTGACATTGTAAGAAAAGGCTGTATTTTAAAATTTGTAAGAGTCTTTGAAGTGAATCCAACTGAGGAGAATTCTCCGTGAAGCTACCTGAATACAAAATGGAGTTAAGAGGCCAAAAATGAGGGGCAAGTAGATGTAAAGACCTGTGGTGCTTAAGATAACGAACTCACAACTCATTCACTAAATTGTGAGGAGAAAAAACCCATAAACAAACAAAAAAACCCACCCAAAAATCTGAGATTAGGAAATTTTACATAATATCTGTGTCTCTGCAGAATCATACTTTCCTTTTTATATGGCAGGACTTGTACTCCACCATGTTTCTTTAATTGTTGAATGCTTTTTTCCTTGTGCATTGTAGGAGTTTGCCAGTTGCACGAAAAGGCGCTGTTTCTAGTGCACTATACATGGCCTGGTTAGAAGCTCTTTCTAAAGATCTGCCACCAATTCTCCTTGTTCGTGGGAATCATCAGAGTGTTCTTACCTTCTATTCCTAAGAGAACGGAACATGGGACAGCTATGATGAAATGGTACTCAGTGTCCAGGGGAGAGTGACTGACATGTTCTATAGTTTATTAACATCACAAAGGCAAAAAGTGACTCTTCTTTCACTATTTCACTAACTTGAAAGCACATAAGGAAAGTCACTGTATTTCTGAAGTTGTGACATCTTCAATTTTATTCTGTATTTTCTGTAATTTAATCTTGATTAATGGGGAAGGATTCCTTGTTAGATTGAAGAACAAGACGAGCTTTTTGTTTGCTATTTGAATAGCAGCAATAAAATGTTTTATTTTTGATCAATGAAAGGATTATAGATTTATAAAAGCCTTTTAGCCTTGAGGTGCCTTCTGAAATTAACCAAATCTCATCCATACATTGTATTTTGTAAATTTATATAGAATGTAAAAATCTGCCTTCAACTAAGAGTTTAGATCAGACTTCATTTAGTTTCTAGTTTCTTCTGTATTACAATAAAAATGAATGCTGCTTTTTGGTCTTCCATTGAGCTATTAGTTCTTAGTACTGTATGTTTTCTATTGTCAGAAAGTTTTTGGGTTTTTTACTATTATATCTGTTAGATTTAAATGTGAGAATTGGGGCAGGTCAGCTGGAGTAAAACAAATTCCTGATGTTATTGTCAAGACTTCATGCTATTAAATTTTGTAACAGTTACAGTAAAACTAATTGTAGTAGCAGAGAGGATCTTTTTCCCAAATTTGACAGTGTGTACTACGTCAGTACTAGTCTGAGATACACGGCTAACATTAGCTACCTTGGCGAAGGATACTGGTCAATCTTAGCTCTGTAGCTCTAATATGAAACCAAATTTATCTTACTGACTGAGGCTTTGTATCTTACTACAAATCAGAAGAAAAGACCTGTCCTAGTTCTTGACCTATTATGTTTTGTTGTCACTTTCAACTTAATTTTGAAAACAAACTCAACATAAGGCTTGAATGGGGATGAGATAAGCAATGAGATGCTATCTAACAGGAAACAGTAAACACTATGTGGAATCTTGCCATCCAATATGAAATTTAAAAGGTAAAGTTCTCTCACATTCTTCAACAAATGGTTAAAAGGACCACTGATTACTAGGGGAGATGTTTTTAGGTCAATTCATTCAGTTGTCACAAAATACTCAGGTTTGATCATCTAGTAATTTAGATCTATTCCATACTTCACACATTTTCTATGTTCAATAAAGAAACTGCCAGTCTTGTGTGCTCTTTCATTGTATATTTTGAGAACTTCACGATTTCATCTACTATGAACACCTGCACAAGAAATTTCACTTGAACCTTTGTATAAGCATTAGTAATGTGAACTGTTTTTTAAATTCCTAATATATTTTGAATAGAAAGGATTGCCTAAAAACATTTCACAAGCTTTTGTTAGCATTAGACGTGCTACTGGATCAGTTTAACAGTGGCTGAATGACTTTCATTTAAGAGTGCACAGAAAAGGTGTATTTTAATGCTAAACACAAGACCAAATTGAAATTTAACTGTTCCGTTTGAAGGACAAAGCATAATCATTTTGTGGCAAGGTAGAGCTTCAAGTTGTTGTGATTAAAGATAAAAATATTCTACACAGTGCAGTATACAGTGTTGTCAAGTTCTTAGTAAACTGCAAAAAATCTTGCTGTTTCTGTCAATTGGATTTGAGACTATTGAATCACTTCCCTTACAAAAAAAACAAAACAACAACAAAACAAACAAACAAAAAAAACAACCACCCAAGAAAAAAGAACAAACATGCATGTTTTGCTGCTAAGTGTGAGATAACTAATTCCAGCATGAGCCCAGCTTGTTATGATAAATATTATTAAGACAAGACAGTTTGCAGTAAAAGAGCTATTTCCTTCCAGGTGAGGGGGTGAGGATCAAACCTAGCAACATATCTATTACATGTTTTACAGCGTGTTTTAGAGAATAAGGATGTCACATTGTGAGTATGGAATCATTGCCATGGTTTCTCTTGGTTTTGTGGATTACATTTTTTTTGAACACATGGACAGTAAGGCATGGGCTTAGTGCTGCTATCTTAAAACAAAAAAAAAAGTGCACAGGTACACGTATTTAAAAAGTTTTTTTGCCCATTCAGGAAACCATTGCTTGTGATCTGTAACACAGAAACCAAATGAAGTGTGTGTATACATGCATATATGTGTATAAAATTATATAAAATATATCTAAACATGCATATGGGGATAGTAAGGTAATGTCTGTGTAATAACATAGGATGCTTTTTACATACACTCTCGTAAGTCCACTAACACTAGGCACGAGGTCAAGTTTCAAGACTATTTGCTACATGAAAATCTCAACAATTAATGGTCATTGTTTGCAACAGATACCAGTTGGTGGCAGTCACTCCAACTTATGCTTTGATTTTGACACCATATTTAGTTACGTTCTAATTGCTGATTTCATTTTTCAAGTAATTAAGACTTCAACATGGCAATTCATACCTTCTATAGACTAGGTTTCTTTGTATGGGTTCAGAAAGACAGTAGTAGCTGGAGAAAATTAATTATTTATTTGTTCACTTATGTTTGTATTTAGGTTTCCTTTTACATACATTCTTTTTATATGCTTTTTCTGACATTACATATTTTAAAATAATGGAAAATAATTTAAAAATCTGAGTGTTAGTGGGTAATGGCCCACTTGGTTTGAAGATGTAAGGTTTGATACTGTACTGTAACTGTCACACACAAATGCTTTTCTAATGTTTTAACATAATTATTGCAGTTAATACTTTGTACCAGGGGGATGTCACTGCAATAAAAGGAATTGAATTCAGTACAACTGTCTTGTCCACAAAGCCTTTTTTTACTGGTGGGGGACAGGGAATAATGTTCCTAGTTTAACAGATTAATGCTGAAAATAGTTCCTGGTATGTGAATATGCTTATTGCATGCATCTGATACTTGCCTTTGTTGTGGAATTCTCACAGGAACGTAAGCAGAACTTAAAGCCATTCAGGTGTTTAGTGTAAGGAGACAAGTGTTTTGTTCTCGGGAGGGCAGGGGGATGTTTGCTGCTACTGGGTTAGGAACAGTGGTGGTTGTGTATGAAAAATAATCCTTGTTTAGTTCTCCAGAATTTGTCATGACTTGCTAGCCAATGCAGATGAGCACACAATTCGTGGTATCTTTAAGCTGAAACATTAGTATCTGAAAACTTGTTCCTGTTACATAGTCAGTTTGTTTAGCCTCTGAATACAGTGAAGGACTGTTTAGCTCATTCGGCCTCAAAATGGTAGACCACAGATATGAGGAAGTGCGTTGGAAAAATATGTTGAAAGGCTGAGAGAGTTGGGCTTGTTCAGCCTGGGGAAGAGAAGACTCCGGGGAGACCTTATAGCAGCCTTCCAGAACCTGAAGGGGCCTACAAGGAAGCTGGGAGAGGACTTTTTACAAGGGCCTGTAGTGACAGGACAAGGGGGAATGGGTTTAAATTGAAATCAGGGAGGTTTAGATTAGATGTCAGGAAGAAATTCTTCACAGAGAGGGTGGTGAGGCACTGGAACAGGTTGCCCAGAGATGTTGTGGATGCCCCATCCCTGGAAGTGTTCAAGGTCAGGCTGGATGAGGCTTTGAGCAACCTGGTCTAGTGGAAGGTGTCCCTGCCCATGGCAGGGGGGTTGGAACGAGACAAATTTGGCCTTAGGTCCACTAACATATGTTCAACTAGAAACTAGTTGGAAAAAAAAAAAAAATCTAAGTTTTAGAGCATAATAAGAAATGGCAAGTTGGAGGTTTTTTTATATCAAATGATACGTAGTACTACGGAAGAACTTCTTAAGCTCATCGATTTTGGTGTTTCCCTGTGTAGGTGGGTGACTAAGAATTTTTATTTAAAAATTAACCTCTAATAAATTCACATTTCTGCTATATATCCTTAATTTACTGAATATTTGTTAAGCTTTTCCATGCATTAAATCCAGGCCTTGAGAGTGAAGTTTGGAGGTCAGTGGAAAGGGAACACATGTTAAAAGTACACTGCCAACTTCTATGGCATTAGGTCTAAGCTGTTTTGGTATATAAAGAGGTAGAGGAGAAGGTATGTAGCAGTTTTTCTGATCCTCCTATTTACTGGAGCAGTGATTGATCTAAATAATGAAACTACTACCATTAGCTGTATTTACAGGTAAAGTGATTTCACCTATGCTGTCAAAGCTAAAAAAATGAATATTGCATTAAGGTTGATCTCACCACTTGGCTACAAAATCAAACAGTGGAGGTTCGCACTGCATAGTAACCTCTTCCAGTTTTGTTTTGCAGCAGGAAAGCAGGACTCCATTCACCTTGGTGAATGTTCATTAGTCTAGTTACATACCTCATAACCTCTGTGTGATCCTGTAAATCTTGCCTCTTCACCTAGATCTGGTTTATGGAGCTGGAGTGGGAGCTAGGCTTCAGGTCTGTGAGATGAGAGAGGCATTGAACAGTGTTCTGCTTTAGTACCACTGCCTTGCTTCCTTTTGGGTACTTGTGGGTACTTACCAGTGCATCATTGAATCTCTCTGGCTGCTCTGTCTCTCAACAGCATGGTGTGGGACAGGTTTTCAGAGTTAAAAGTCTGTGGGTTCAGTTGATGGAGGCTCATGTCTGCATTTAGGATCGGGGGAAGCAAGCTGGTAGAAATCATCTTTCTTAATTTTTGAATTTTGGAAGAGTAAATACAAGCAGTAGCATACACCTTCTCCAAACAGAAGTAGGGAATACTTTTTTCTTGAAATGTATGCTCAGAAGTCCATCTCAGAACCACAAAGAAACTACTCTATATTTTGGGCTGTATTCATCAAACTTGCTGTCAAGGTGCACATCCAGAAGTTATCTGTGTGATCAGGGATAAGTCATGGCCATTAAACCATGGGCCATCTGCGGGCAAGGGAGGGTGGAGGTGGGTTGTGGTGTGGGGGTGCGAGGCCATTGCAGGCACTGGCTGTTGTCCAGCCCGTGGGTGCAGCTGCCCTTCCTGGCTTGCCATAACATTGCTCTTTTGTAAAATACTCATTTGCTTATGCATGGTGCCATGTGTTGGAAATTAATTTTTATTATCCTTCAGTGAAATCTTACAAAATACGCTGTTAACAGGAATCTAATAGTAACCTCTGGACATCAGAGAGGATAAAGACCTCGCAACACTGTTTCTACATTGTGAAGATCTGGGGAAAACTGAGCCTGATGAGCTGTAGCCAAAACAAATTCTAATGTCAAGTTTTGGGTCTATGTAACTCACCTTCATGGCCACTCAGTTCTTGTCCACAGTAATAATTATGAAATTCTGAAAATAAAACAAGATTTTTAGTGAAAGAAATAGGACATAATTGCTCTGTACAGTTTTCTAGGAATTGCAGTAACAGCAGGTGGCACTATTGTCTTCCAACATTTCAGTTGCACCTGAAATCGTACTGGCAAATGCACTCTTCCTTTGGTTTCATGGCCTAATTGAATTGGCGCCTTGAATAAACAAGACAT